TGATGTTCCAATGGCATTGTCAAACTTCTAGGTTTACAAGGAAGGCGGTGCTGAATGTCCGATGTTCACATTTTCAACTTGAAAACTTTGGCCAGAACCTTGCTATTGAAGAGGATGATGATATTAGAGTAGTCTAAGCTTTTAAATCAAATACAAGTTTTCAACTTTAAGAACTGAATGAATGTGGAAAAAGCTAAAGAGACCAAGAATTTTTTTGTAAGACTTAGAAATTTAAATTTTAATGGAGTTATTAAGAAACAAGTACGCAAATGACATTAGATTGTTTCATTAAAAACTGAACTTTGCCTATTACTTTTAAGTAAAATCTTTACAATATATAAAGACATCTCTAATATCAAATGAACAGCCAGATTTCTTTATTGGGCTATTAAGGCTAAATAATTACTAAATAATTTGCCAGAAAGTAGGAAGTTAGGCTGCAATCTCTTGTTAAATTTAATAATTATAAATAAATAAATTAAATTTCATTTTACAATATTCTGGAAGAAAAGATTGGTCCCAAATGAGACTCAAATCCACAAATCCTGCTTACCATGCAGATATATTGCCAACTACACTACCAATATCTCTATCTGATCTTTGCTTCTAGATAAATTAATTATGATATAACCATATTGGTCATACACAGCACTGACTGAAAATGACTTAGCACCCATAACCCTCCATGGAAAACAAGTTATCAGAATGTCGGAATGTATACAGTTTTAGGTTTGTTTGTTTATATAATTTGACGAAGTATATTGTATGTACTAGAATGAAAAAGACATTTTCACTCTCCGTATAAAATGTAAATTAGAATTAGCCTGTTTCTTCAAACTTTCACTCAATGGCCGAGTAAATCTACAGTAATGTTACTTTCTACAGTCATAATTTTATGGAAGTCTGAGAGGAAATTATTCATTTCTTCTAAAATTACATAAAGAAGATTTTCAATGTGTGTTTCTCTGAAATTTTATTTAAATATGATGAGGTGACTTTAAATGTGATGTACATTATGCCTTCTGAGGCAATTCAGACTGTATTACCTTGGTTTATATCCATTTCCATTTTGACTACTTTGTTTTTAATAACCCTCCATGGCTTTAACCTTAGTATGATATATATATATAATAAATATAACCAACCAAAAAATTACTTCAAATATAAAACAAATAGCCAAATTTCTTTACCAGGCTATCAAGGCTAAATAATTACTAAGGAGGTAGTTAGACCGTCATCTCTTGTTACTACTTATTCCTGCCAAATTACTTAGTAATTATTTAGCCTTAATTTGATATTTGTTTGTTTGATATTGAAAGTAACTATTGAGTTGGTTATATTTATCAGACATCTCTAATAAGTGTGTTTTGAATAAACACATGTAAATCATAAAAATAACTTATTTTTCATTAAATTCTATAAAAGTATAAACAGGGGTGCACAACCTGCGGCCCGCGGGCCACATACAGCCCCCTATCAATGTTTATGCGGCCCGCGGACGGTACAGGCCAAATCCCTTCTTTCGAAGTTTCTAAGTGTAGAACTTTTTCCCTTTCACAAAGTCATTAGCACCCAACTGTTTTATGACTTTCCCTGAGGTGAGAAATGGGGGATTGTTCTATAAATAAGTCTATTTTTAGCTAACACTTTCTGCTTTAGATATCGAATATTTTAAAATGATGTTAGAACGTCATTTCCGATGTTATCGGGAAGTTTCTATTTTGGCGGGAAATCTTCAATTTTATGCTTCGGAAAACTTGCCTATTCGTCTAAATAGCGTCAAATAACAAAAATAAGTGAAAATAGCGCTGAAAAACCATGAAAATAACGATTTTTTAGCATTTGTTTACATTCTAGATTCTGATTGGTATAGTCGAATTTGAATCAATCTTTTCTGAAAAGACGCTTATTCGTCAACCTAATGTCATTCAAACTAGAAAAAAACTAACCAGAGTTCAAAAAGGAATGTACAAAAAGCTATAAAACCAATAATTTACAACAATATCTCTCCATAGACAAAGAATAGAAAAAAAATTTTTCACATCAAATTTATTATTATTAAGTTGGACCAAGAAAATTAATACTGTAGTTGGAATAGAGTCATTACGACTAAAAGGAAGCCATTTGCATTAAAATATTTTGGATTTAATAATTATTACAAACCGCGTCAAGCCATAAACTTGTCAACAAAGAGGGTTGTAAAATGATTCCGTGTAGCTAGAAAGCTGCGGTTTTTTTTGTTTGAAAGAAAACAGATATATTTAGGTTATTTAAGTAGTAAATTAATTGGAACTTTTTATTTACTTTTATTTTTACATTCTTTTTTTCGTAAATTTAAAATTAAATTATTATTTTTAATTTTTATTTTATTTGAAATTTAACAGTCGTAAACTGTGATATATTTAGGACAAAAAAAAAAAAAAAAACAGATTGATTCTAGCGCCAATTTGAAACGAGATATCGCAATTTTAATAATTATATTTAAAATATTCAGATTTTCCACTGCACTGTGTTAATCACTTTTGATTCATTTCTGAACACGGGGGTAAAACTGACGGGCCATAAATATAATTTAGGTAAGAATGGTAACCACATTTATGATGGATTAGTGTCCTGCACCTGGCATGTTGACGATCTGACTCACAAATTCTGAGAAATGGTGGAGACGCCCGGACAGGGGTCGAACGAATTAAGACCTGCCTGGCCACGTGTGCGTAATAGTCTTCTGTCCCCGCCTCTTTAGTCTTTGGTCAGAGTGGATACAGAACAAAGCACGTGGTAGTCTAGCTTGCCTTATCTCAAACATGATTTGTTGCGGGCCTCAGAATTTTCGGCACAATGAGACATTGTTTTGCAGAGTGAACAGTATGGCGCCGGGCATTAAACGCAAGGTCAATCGCGAGAATCATCAGTTTCAAGAAGTGGAAGTGTGGACTAACAAGTACTGTTTTGTGCAACAGAACAACAGCATTATTTGCCTTTTGTGCAATGGAACAATAGCAGTGCCAAAAGAATTCAACCTGAAGCGACATCATGAAAGCCAACACAAGGATTTCCTTCTGCAAGGTACGGAACGCAAACGGAAAATCGAATCGTTACGACGATCACTAATCAGCCAACAAAATGTGTTCAAGAAACAATCTGGAGAATTGGATGCGGCTGTTGAAGCCAGCCTAGAAATATCTGCTTTAATAGCCAAGAATGGGAAACCTTTCACAGATGGCGATATGATAAAAAAGTGTCTTATCATCGCAAGTGAGATGTGTCCTGAGAAGACAGTGTTTTCAAACAATCAGTCTTAATCACATGACGATACAACAAAGAATCTCGCAAATTGCATCAGACATCGCATTATTCACTTGGAGGTCCGGCCCCCAGTCAATAAACTTAATCCTAATTTGGCCCTTCTTCAAAAAAGGTTGTGCATCCCTGATATAAAAAACATTTTCTGAGAATTTGTATAGGCAATAATAGAAAAGTGGTAAGACTATATACTGTCAGTAGTAGAAAAACCTCTGAGACATGAAAAATCAAGATAGTGCCATCAAGTTCTAGCTTTTACAGATTTTACTGTACAAACTTTTCTACAGCTCATTTCACAAATCTTGGTTGGGCTATAAAAATGCACAATACCAGTTTATTTACTTAGTAAAGGGAATGGATTGTTGACAAATCTTTGGCAAGATCACTATGCATTACCAAAAAGGAATTCTTGAGCTTTTTAAAACTTCTAGAGCTTCAACCAAGTACTGCACATCACTTGGCCAAAATATGTGAAACAATCTGTATGTCTAAAATATTTTGAATTTGGAATCTACTTACATTCATTAACAACAATGCTTCTTTTGAGTTTTTTTTTAAACTTAACAGCTTTCACATTTTATTTTCTAAATTAAAACAGTTTTATTTCATCATTAACATAAATAAATTTTAGATACCTGAAAATCTTTTGTAAGATAATTTCAAACAAAGATTTAAAAATATTTTTATAATTGAAATTAAAATTTTCAACAATGCCTACTGCCATGCATAAAAATAGATAAAAATTCAACAAAACAGTAGGTAAAAATAATTATAGTATATTCTGATCGTAAAATAAAATAAATACTGTATTGAAATAACGCCTTCATTTGAATACAATTAATTTTATTTTATTTTTAACTTTGATACTTTTTGTGAATTATTCAAAATTGATCTGAACACAACAGAGGAATGAATTTCAAGAATTAGTGTGTTTAAAGATAGCATACACATTAAAAAACACATTATGATTTTATTCAATTACCTGACATTTGTCATAGATACCAATGAAAAAAATGCTCATTATGTAAAGATGATCAATTGTTACAATGATTGTGTACTAATGATTGTTACAAAAAAAAAACAGTTTCCACTGTATATTGTTCTAAAAACAAGTCTATTATAAAAACATTTCTATATATAAACATTACTTCTATATTTGATCAAAAAGTGGACATTATTTTTAGTTTATTTTTAAGCAATTTTGAAATTAATAAATCCACATTTCTGAAGTAATATTATATAATTAATTAATAATATATGACAATGATAACTTTTCATGTCTTTTGTTTCTAATATTATTTCAGATTTAACGTTAACATAACATTATGTTATGAAGAATTTGCAAATTTATACTATTACAAATTTACAATAATTTTATAATATGATTTATACAAGATTTATGATTTAGTTTCTTAAACGTTTTAATGATAAAACTATGCATTATAATTAAACTTTCAAATGTCTATAAAAATAAATTTAATTAAATATAATTTTCATTGGATCTTAATATTTAAATTTTATTTCAAATTAACATATTGTATAGTATGTGAAAAAATTCATTCTGAATTCCATGAGAAAAAAATTATATATCTCTAAAAACAAAAATGTTAATCTATTAAATAACATTATAAAAAATTTTTGAAAACCTCTTACAAGGTAATCAAATAATTAGAAAAAAAAACAAAAATTATTCTTACAAAACGAAGAGTCTGATGAACAATGATTACTATCTTTGTTGTGATCTGTACTATTATTTATTTGGCAATAACTTGAGTCTAATGGCACAAGAGAAACATATAACTGTTTATTCATATCTGAAAATAAAGGGAAAGTACTTTTATAGTAAAACATTTTTAGTATATTTAATTGAATTAAAACTTTTTCTGAATTTAATTGGTCTTGAGAATATTTTTTCTTCTTGATAAATATAAATTTTTATCATCAGATTTCTTCTTACAATCACAAGACCAATCTTTAAAAGATTTATTTTGCTAAATAAAAATAAAAATTAGCATATTGTTCACCTTCAAAATATAAATTAACAAATTCAGAATATATATGATGCTTTTGGATAATTTAAATAAATGTTTTTTCTCTTAATTAAATCTTTACTGCATTCTTAAAGATTATTATAATAAGATAAAAAATACATAAATTTAATGAAAATTTGCCATTTATTTTAAAACTCAATTTTGATTTATATTAAATATCATATTTTCATAAAGTATCATGTAAGTTACTTGAAATGTTTTAATTTTCTTTTATACATATTTAATTTTTTGTAATGATTTTATTTATAACACAAAATTATCATTATATAAAACTGAAAATGTAATTTTAACAATGAAAACAAAAATGTATATTTATTTTTTCATTTATGCAAGACTTTCGTTATTTTTAATAATGTTTAATAAACATCTATTTTAAGTTTTAAATTTTCACTGAATAATAAAATTTTCTTTAAAAATTAAGACGTAGTCGCTTCCAAAAATTCTTGGGTGATCATCATATTTCTTTTAAATGTTCCTTAGTTAAAAGAAATATGATGATCACCCAAGAATTTTTGGAAGCGACTATGTCTTAATTTTNTTTAGTTTATTTTTAAGCAATTTTGAAATTAATAAATCCACATTTCTGAAGTAATATTATATAATTAATTAATAATATATGACAATGATAACTTTTCATGTCTTTTGTTTCTAATATTATTTCAGATTTAACGTTAACATAACATTATGTTATGAAGAATTTGCAAATTTATACTATTACAAATTTACAATAATTTTATAATATGATTTATACAAGATTTATGATTTAGTTTCTTAAACGTTTTAATGATAAAACTATGCATTATAATTAAACTTTCAAATGTCTATAAAAATAAATTTAATTAAATATAATTTTCATTGGATCTTAATATTTAAATTTTATTTCAAATTAACATATTGTATAGTATGTGAAAAAATTCATTCTGAATTCCATGAGAAAAAAATTATATATCTCTAAAAACAAAAATGTTAATCTATTAAATAACATTATAAAAAATTTTTGAAAACCTCTTACAAGGTAATCAAATAATTAGAAAAAAAAACAAAAATTATTCTTACAAAACGAAGAGTCTGATGAACAATGATTACTATCTTTGTTGTGATCTGTACTATTATTTATTTGGCAATAACTTGAGTCTAATGGCACAAGAGAAACATATAACTGTTTATTCATATCTGAAAATAAAGGGAAAGTACTTTTATAGTAAAACATTTTTAGTATATTTAATTGAATTAAAACTTTTTCTGAATTTAATTGGTCTTGAGAATATTTTTTCTTCTTGATAAATATAAATTTTTATCATCAGATTTCTTCTTACAATCACAAGACCAATCTTTAAAAGATTTATTTTGCTAAATAAAAATAAAAATTAGCATATTGTTCACCTTCAAAATATAAATTAACAAATTCAGAATATATATGATGCTTTTGGATAATTTAAATAAATGTTTTTTCTCTTAATTAAATCTTTACTGCATTCTTAAAGATTATTATAATAAGATAAAAAATACATAAATTTAATGAAAATTTGCCATTTATTTTAAAACTCAATTTTGATTTATATTAAATATCATATTTTCATAAAGTATCATGTAAGTTACTTGAAATGTTTTAATTTTCTTTTATACATATTTAATTTTTTGTAATGATTTTATTTATAACACAAAATTATCATTATATAAAACTGAAAATGTAATTTTAACAATGAAAACAAAAATGTATATTTATTTTTTCATTTATGCAAGACTTTCGTTATTTTTAATAATGTTTAATAAACATCTATTTTAAGTTTTAAATTTTCACTGAATAATAAAATTTTCTTTAAAAATTAAGACGTAGTCGCTTCCAAAAATTCTTGGGTGATCATCATATTTCTTTTAAATGTTCCTTAGTTAAAAGAAATATGATGATCACCCAAGAATTTTTGGAAGCGACTATGTCTTAATTTTTAAAGAAAATTTTATCATCCAGCAAAAATTTAAAACTTAAAATTTAATAATAATTCACTGGCAGAGGGAGGATAGAAGATAATCTACGTTAAACAGCGCAAATTTCCAGTAGATATAAAGAAACTCCCGAATGGAGAAGGATGAAATAAGAAAGACGTCATAAGATCATCAAATCCAATTTTAAAAAAATTATTACTTTTTAATTGGTTTTTTCTATGTTTTAAGGAACTTTTTCCAGGACGGCCACGTAGCCTAAAAAGGAAGGTCGGGTCATCTGAAGTTTTTACTAAGGAACATTTAAAAGAAATATGATGATCACCCAAGAATTTTTGGAAGCGACTACGTCTTAATTTTTAAAGAAACATCTATTTTGATATAACAAAATTTCAAATAAATATAAAATACTAATCATGTAATACAATCAAATAAAAATATCTTATTTTATTTGATTTTTCATTGAATTTAAAATATTTTTAAACCTTATTTTTACGATATTTATACAAAAATAAGCTGCACTTTAGTTTTTAAATCATGCTTCTGAAAAAAATAGTTTTTGGTCTATTGTAAGTTACACTTGAATATGATGTACAGTGGATGATCAGTTAACAAACAAATTGATAACAAACACTTTTGCGAAAGATTTTTATGTTTGGATAACAAACACCTTACAGAACAAACACAAGAAGTGACGTAAAATAATGAACACTGATTGTCTTCCCTTGTCTTCAGGCAACAATTCGAAACTTTTTGAAGTGCAGGAGATGTCGACATCAACGCTCAACCCAGTATATACTGATCGAATAGTATTCCTTCAAACTTTGAAACTCTCCCTTGTAATTCCAGCCTTTTATTTTTCTGACAAAACAATTCTTTTATGTATTCGCAAGACTGTCGGGTAGGCACTCGTTAAGTTTTGCATCTGTTTTTCTTTTTGAAAGGTGAGAGTATAATAGCAAAGGTAGAGAGTGGGTAGATGTCTGATGTCTGTTGTTGCTGGGCAGTATGGCTTGAACATGTCTACAGTAGGCTGCAGTTCAATCTTATCTAAGAAAGATACTATATTATCAAGAAGACTCAAGAAGCTTAAGGAGTAACAAAACACAACTGAAAAATAAAGAACATTGAAGAGCTCATAATGGAATCTGAAACAGATCTGACGACAAAAGAATGCCAAGAACTCTTAAATGAAGAACACCAAAAACTCGGAGAGATATCTTTTCTTCTGAAAAAGAGAATTAATGTCGATATCTGCTATTAAACATTTTTTTGAAGAAGTGGGATGATGTCAGAACGATGTTCTCAGAATGGCATCCAAACCAGGTTGAGGTTAACAGGCTTAGGGATCTCTACAATTACAATGCTATTAATTACTTCTGAAAAATCTTAAAGAAGAGAGAAAGGCAATTGACATTAAACAGATTCTTTAACCCCCACAAATGGAAAAAAATATGACTAATAAAAATGGAAAAATGTGTATATATGTATTTTTATTATTACATATAAATAAACATACTGCAANTTTAATTTTATGTATATTGTTCTCTGTAAGATTGGTTTTGATTCAAAAAAAGCTTTAAATCATTTAAATTTGATGTAGTGAGTGATTAGTTCTCTCAATTATTTTGGTGATAGAATGCTACCTTGAACATGACAGCTTCTATGGCCTGCAAAATTGATGATGATAATAGTAGTGAAGATTATCATCTTTTATGTATATTTTTTTATATTTTCTTAAAGATTAAAGGTGTATTTTAGCTATTTGACAGCAATACCAACTTCTGTTAAATTGCTAATCGGTTAATTGACTAATAAAAATGGAAAAATGTGTATATATGTATTTTTATTATTACATATAAATAAACATACTGTAGTAAGAAAGTATATATTTTTTTATATTTTCTGGTCTCCAGTCTCCAGAATGAATTAATCAAATTCCCATAAAAACCTATGGTAAATTGATAATCGGTTAATTAATTAATGAACAATTCAGATAATGAGCAAAGTCTTGGAACAGATTATGTTCGTTAACCGATCACCCACTGTACTTTTGCATGCTTCTGTAGCCCAGACATAATTTCACCATCAAATGCAACTTTTCACATGCTAATTTCATTGATGCTTTTGTCTTTTCTTTTTGTTTGTGTGATTTGACATGCTGAATTTAGCAGAAGACAAACATAAGCATGTTTTTACACAGCTAAATACAAGTAAAAAGTAGTGATATAACGAATATTCAGTTACTATTCAGTATTCGACCTATTTGGCCTATTTTTCGCTATTTGGCCGAATACCGAATACCTAAAGACAGGAGTAAGAAATAACAAAAACACAGTAAATTAATCATTTTGGTATTTAGATTTAATGTTGTCAGGTTAGTGTTGTTTGTTTATATTTATTTATAACTTATAACATGCCAGAAATTTAAAAAAATAATAATATTAGTCACGTGTATTCACAATTTATAATTACAAAGATCAGCACATGTACACACCTATTCATTCGAGAATCATCACACACATGTGAGGGTCTGACCCTGCCTATCCTTTTTAAGTGCACATCTTTGCTCTTTCCTTTCTCTTTCCTCCATCTCTGTAGTCCACATATGCCTATGCATACATCATAATACGCGCTCATGATATTTTCGATTCATCACTTTTCCGTCGTAGTTTTTCCATTTTATAATTACGTGACTCATAGCCTGGTGATAACAGAGAAAAGCGACAAATAGGACGTCGGTGTATGTCACAGTTATGATTTCACAGATTCGAGACAGCTTGGTAGCCTGAACGATCCCAGGCTTTCGCCCGTGCACGCTAAGTGACTTTCATTACAAGCATTTAGCTTTCTGAAGTCTATGACAACAATTGTTTGGCATTGAC